AAAAGATTCTTCTTGAAATGTCTAACCTATCAGCTCCTAATTCAAGACATTCGGGTTGGGAATTGGGTTTGATCTCTGATAAGGTCATTTGTGTTGTATAGTTTGTTGACTTTCATGACAATGAAGACTTACCAATGAACTGAAGGTCGTGTTACAAACAACCCCTTCAGGTTTCTGGATTTGTGTTTTTGTACTGGCTTCATAATTTGTCAATTTTTAGATTTTTATTTTCAAATATCTCCGACGTTGATGGCTACTGTTGTTGATTAATGATAAGTTGGTTTAGATGAAATATCTACATAATTTAAGCTACACGAATATGAAAAATATCATTTTTCTCCATACACATGTAATATACACATGATATGATTTAGTACCTTCATTAAGTAACCAAGTCATCTCAATCTACTTCATGTATCTTAGTCTACAGAGATGTTAAATTGTGTACCTGTACAAACACTAAACATAACTGTGCCAAGTGCTGTCACATCAATAAGACATTATACCAGTGTCAACGTATGGCATTAAAAGGGTGTCAGTAGGTGAGTAAGATGTAACCAGAACTTGTAGATTGGTGTATATTATGTGCCTTCCGATTTTCCATCTGATGAGACTGTCGTCAGGAAGTATGATAAGGAAATGTATATGGACCAAATTTAAGAAAAATTATCACCGAATAAAATGCCTTACTTATGCGGGAATTGAACAGACTATACTCCTTCCGTAATATGCTGAAGTTATATGCATAAAATAACATCTTTAGATTGCATAAAGCATGAACATAACAAAATTACCTCTTCCTCATACCGTTAATTAATGCTACTATACGAGACAGCTGATGTGACAAATATTACATACAATGTACTTGTTGTTTCATGCTTTTATAAAAACACACAGTCAATACCAATCGTACATACTGTAACGAAAGGGATGAGGTGCGATTTCGTTAACTTTATTGAATTTTAATTGGTTGTTGTGAGTTGTATACACTAAGAATTCGTCTTGTCTTATAGAGACAAACTAGAGAGGAAAAAGTATAATATGTATATTTACGTAACATTTACTCGCATTTTTCTGTCATTCTGGAACAAATACATTTTAAGTTAATTTCTACATCTTTTACATCTTTCATCCTACCAACAGTTTACATTATTGAAAAGATCTAAAGCTGCAGCATCGTTTCGTGTTTAAAATTATACAGCTACGGTACCGTACTTTTATCGTCTGTTTGCACCACAGTCCTCGAGCATCGAATAAACACTTTGTGCTGAGAAAGATACTGAGGGCAGACAATTTGAATACATGAGCCTATGGGAACTAAGTGATTCCCTACTGTTGGTGTTCAATTATACTCATCATCATACTTTGCGAGCAAGAAATCGTCAACTGACGGACAAACTCGTAACACAGGAATTCAATAGATGCAGGTTGATGACAATTACGGTGAAGTAATAAGATCATCATAGTGATAGCATTGAAAAATTGTTTTTTTTCTTAATAAAATATCCAGCTAGACGTGTTTGATGTTCATTAGTTTGCATGTTGGTTCCTTTGTGTACACTGTATTCGCAATTCACAATTATCACTTCGTTTAATGTAAGACAAAATGATCATCAATTAGAATTTGATTATTGATACAATATTGTTATATAGCGTTGAGCAGAAATATCTGTTTGGGTGACAGACTAACTAAAGATTCAAACGGAGGTTTACATCATCTGTAGAGATCGGAATGACCTTTTATTGTAAAGTGTGTGAAAACGATACCACACACTTCAAACAAATTAGCATGAAGAGAAAAACTTTCTGACAGCAGAGTAAAACCTTGACAGCAGTTAGCTGTCATCACCGTCAGCACCAGAAATTATCGACTCCAATATGAAATACGTGTGTTAATATATCATTTAACTTGGATTTCAAACAGCATTTTACAAGATCTCATCTATCGTTTAATATAGAATCACATCACATAAAAGGTTTCGGACTCCTGGATATGATTAATCACTGGGGAATCCCCTTTCTATTTTAACATTTTAACAAACCAGATATTTTGACATTTACTAAACGTAACACAAACTTGTCTAACAACGTGGTATATTATAACAAAATATCTATTTGACAGTATCCTGATTCCTATGTCTCTTATAAGTTCATAAAATATACATCGTAACATTAAGTTATTAAATCCACAACCAGAATGGCCAGAAACGCTAACGAATCGAAAATTAATCTGTTCGATTTTTCTTTTTTTTTATCTGATTGGGAGCTTGTCATGAGCAAAAATATCGAATATGGATATTAGAAAACAGCGCAAGTTTGGCTCGAATCTACTTAACTTGCATCTACAAATTTGTATGCAGTGAATGTCTTAAATAGGAACAATTGACCTCGGCAATATCATAAATTTTATTTCTCATTAACGAACCTGATTTCTTAAATGACAAAATGAAGGACTATATGTCTATACTGTAGCATTGATTTAATTCTTGGTATGGGACTTTCACATAACATGATACAGTTCAAAACAAAGATAAAAAAAATGTTTTTTTTTAATTGCGCAATGTTTAGTGTGTCTGATGTGGTACAACAATATATCATTTGTTTGAGATGTAAAATGCAGCCAATAGTTTATGATAGACTTGTTTGTATCTCTCGTGTTATTTCATTGGTATAATTTTGATTTACAATGTACAATGTATAAGAAGATATCGGACAAGTAAGCACACTAACTGATTCATGAAATGGATTTTATCACAAAAACACATTTTGACAACTTTGATATATATTGTTGAATCCATCTACATTTCCAACAAAAGTAACATGATATATCAGATGTACTGACAGAGTGAACGAGAGACAATAATACTTGGACATCATAATGTTGTGCATATGACAGGATCGTACATTTTGTACGGTTCGTTAAAACGGTTGACTAGTATTTCGAATTGAAAAATCAAAAACTCGTGAAAATGTGACTTGATATAGCGAGCATAGACATAATAGATATCAATCAGTGATTTCAACATTTTTGCGAGATACCATTGGACCCTGTGTTAATTAGACTTTGGGTAGTTTTACACTTCGGAGAGTGGCGAGTATTTGACTGTATACGGGTATTTACGTGACAAGTCCGTATTGTCAAGGTCGCCAGTGTTTATGAATAAAAGAACAAGAGTACTGCAAAGCGGAACAAAATACGCCCGTGAGTATCCAAAACAAAGAAGATAATTTAAGAATTACAGTCCTCCAACTGGTGTACTTTGATGGAAGTCAAAGGTCGAAGGCAAGGTCACAGTGACCTACTTTTGGTACACAACACACCATCTCACCATGGTGCACCCATGTTTCAGTTTCAATGGTGTAGGACAAGGCTTTTCTTTGACAGAGGTCAAAGTCAAGGTCACAGAGACCTACGTTTTGCATGGGGTACGCTGTCTCACCATGGTGCATTCACATACCAAGTTAAGTTCCAGAATGAAATAAACATCGGTTAGAGGAAATATTCAGACAAGATTTTTATACTTCATATCATGGTGATTAAGCCTAGCAAGTTTCATAAAGCTCGGCTGGAAAATGTTGGAGATCTCCGGACAAGATTTCTATAGTGAAATAAACAAAGGGGAATAACTCTTATTCAAATCGTCTAATTAAAACCCCATTCAGGAAAACACCATTTCATATCATGGTGATTAAGCATACAAAGTTTCATAAAGATCTGCTGAAAAATGTTGGAGGAGATCTCCGGACAAACAAAAGTTTACGACGGACGCAAGACGGACGGACGGACAGCGCCATACCATAATACGTCCGTCTTTCGACAGGCGTATAAAAATGAGAGTAATGAAAATGAAATTTCCTATCTGACGTATGGGATTTTGGATAATTAATTTCCGAAACAAAAAGAGACGTTCGTATTGTGCTAACATAGATAATACTTATACGATATGCATGACAGTATACTAAGACTGGTCACATGTAAACTAACTATTCTTAAATACGAGTATATATAACTAGTATTTACGTGATAGATCTACATGTGCCTAACCTATAGATATATGGCTTAGGAAATATACATAGTTGTACTCTTATATACCACGAAAATAGATAACCCCTACACCACATGTGTTCGCAGGTCATTTCTTAATCTATTTCAACAAGATGTTTGATAGGTCGCCACACCGTGCGGAAAAACATGTACTCTATTTTATAACAAATTTCGTCCAATTATTCAATTGTGCACGCATTGTGCAAGTATCGTCATTACAAGTGTATGATGGAAATATAAGTCCTGACAACAACTGAACTGGAATGTAATGAAAAGAGCACTTACACCTGTTTACCCATTTACATAATGACTGACGTATGGTTTTAGAATTTACATCTGTCCTATCACTTTTCTTACTTATCATTCTTAATAGACGTTTTTTTTATCAAGTACTTTGTTACTTTGTTAAGGTAAATAACAGCACATCATTATTATTATCTTTATTTGTTTATTTTTGTTTTTGTTTTTATTTCAACTAATCTTTTTACATTCCTTATGAAATAAGCTTAGATCACCTATTGATATGTGTCCTTATTAACATGTTCGATTCTCCCAGAGCTGACATGAAAAAAGTATAGGATGACCTGCTTGTCCACGTGGGTTTTCCGCGGGTACTCCGGTTTCCACCAACAATAGGACACTCCGCGCGCTTCAAACCATCTCATAGCTTTGCAGGCAGATTATATATTTTTTATCAAAATAAGCCAATGGCTTTAATATGCCAACTGAACAAAATTAATATTCATCCTTTCTGGCGAATATGCTTAGATATTAATCATTGATATGTTTAAAAGCAAACGCCCGGACGTTGCTAACAGTACGTGGCCATTGCAATGGTACCCTGTACACCGCGCTGATATATTCATTTGTTACATGTTCATATGCGTTTTAGCATAAACTGTTTTAACTCATTTATCTCCATCAGGGCTGCATTTATGATTAAGAGTACTTCACTATGAACGTTTTCAAGCTTTTGGTGCCATATTTTATTGCAATCATTTGTGAATTAAACCATGGCGCATACTCAATGAAACACTTAGGTGAGTGGCAGAATTTTGTTCGTGATGTCAGACATGGAAAGAATCAAATGTTAGATGAAAGACTTTCGGCACATACTGACGCCACCGAAAACATCAGAAGAAAACGTTCTGTCGACCAGACGGAGCCACTGCCAGCACAGGAATGTACAAAAGGTAATATTATCATAGGTTCAGCAAAGATATCCTAAAGAAAGGTGATTTATTATCTCATATTTACTATTACATATATACTATTTAAGTATATACGGCATCAATTTATAAGTGAGCTGTATATGGCTTTAGAATTGCTGATTTAGACAATCAGTTCATTTATCATAGAAAATAATCTAAAGTGACATTTCTTTATGTTGGTGTTATAAAGGTATTATTTCTAAAGTGCACTTATACAGTTGTGGTATCGCACAACGTAACAAGATGTGCGATTTGCGCACGATGCAGGGAAACTGGACGAAATAATCTTTCGCAAATTTATGAGCATGTTGTGAGGTTCTATCGCACAAATGTGTGATTATATCGTGGTTGATATAAGTTTAGAAATGACCTGTAGATAAGTGTAGGATAGGGTTTAACTTTTATCTAAATACATACGAATACAACTTAGTATATTTCCTAGTTAAGCCACCAATAAAATGAACATTTGTAGATCTAGCACATATCACCAGCCTTAGTGTAAGGACACCCATTATATATACATTATATATGTAAACATTAAATGGACATGTCTTTAAGTCTTTAAATAAATCTCATACCTCTTCACAGGAAATTTTCTTTTCATTACTTCTATATTATTTTAAACAAAAGTATATACTAAATACTAGGCAAACCTTAAGTGTTGTTTTGATAACCAGTCAGTTGTAATATCTGTGTGATCGTTATTTGTAATAAATACACCTGTTTTCCGTTTAATGTTGATACCGTTATATTAGCCAACTATATTTACTTAACTGCACAAAATGTGCGATCTTATCTGGCAGTTGTGCCACGTGCTTTACATTCTAGAATCGGTGGACATGTGTATCAATCATTTAAGATGCAGAAGATATTGACAAAAACAGCATGATAACTCCATCATATTGTGCAGTATTGTAGTATATTCATGTTTATGTCGTTGATTTGATACTTGCTTTAGATGTATGAAAACTAATATGTTTGTCTACTCGTGTTCTTGCTGGATTGCTTAGTATTGAACAATGGATACAGATGTTGAAGAGATCAGCAGAAAAGAAGAAATATAATATATATTTTGTACGGTTTAATAAGCCAATGCGAGATGAAAAAAAATCTATGGTTGCATCAACTGCAAATTATATCAAAGTTAGGGCCAGGATACATGAAAATATTCTAATGATCACTCATGAAACCTAGGCTCAACTACACTTTCTATCAATTGATATAAATCGTAAAATACCACTATAAGAAGAAAAGAATAAATATAAAAAATTAAATAACGCAATGTCTTTCTAAAGTTTCTTCAAATTCTTCAACAATATTTTAATCAAAATATCACATAATTTTTTGATGCTGATCATAAAATGTTGCATGAATACATTAATACGTGCCCAGGGGATCGAAATTTTTGAGTGAATTTTCGCATGTTGTTGATAGCTTTATGAAGAAAAATTAAATGTAACTTTAAAAGAATGAAAAATATTCCACTTTTACATTTATTTATATTTTGTTTTTTTAGATACAGGTGTCCGAATATGTTAAATAGTGAACATACTTTAACGAATCAAGCTTCTGTATAAAAACTCTTTTCATGTAATTGTCATGCCTATATTTTTTACAACAAAATCCTTTTTTAAATATGAATATGTTGGAATAACAGAGCATAGCCCAGACATTTACTTTGATATTAGGATCTTAAAACCGCAAAGTCACCAAATGTTTTTTTTTAAAAAGGGATAAAGATGCTTCAGTCTAATACTTAACAATAACAAGGTTTCAACTATTTCTTGGCAATATATGAGTAGGTACTTGGAATGATAAACAAGGGGAGCCGCCTGACTTTTTTAAAATTAAAGACTCGCACAGTTATACTCGTGACAGGAATATAAGGAACAGAGAAACGTTAACTTTATCCATGGATTGATGACGTCAACTGTATTGTCACATGTGACGTATTAAACATACTACATGTACACAGGAAAGTGGCATAAAGATAATTGTTGAGCGTTGATATTTTTATCAACTTATCGTCTTTTTCGTTCTAACAGAATGTTATCGGGTGAATATAGCTAATGTCTTGATTTTGTCACCGGGCTGTTAATTATGCAATGTCATGCGTATTCTTGCTTTATTTATCTTTATATTTCTGTTCGAAACGGTCCCTCACACGTGTTTAGTCAATCAAATCGCTCCCTTCAACCACTGATGACATAGAGGCTCCGCCTACTTTCCATTCTAGTGTTTAATAGATGTGGGTCAGGATGTAGGCTACACTGCATGGGTAATCTGTCTAAATTGTATATTGATTATTAGTGTAATACCTGAAATTCTTAACGTCTTTCTCTGAATGGTAAAGGTAGTTGTTTACAAAAGTAGACCGATAAAACGACGGACATCGTGGAGAGGCATTGACATGTGACAATAGATTCCTCAGAAGTTGTCAATACGAATCTTTCAAGTGGAGATAGGTATTTATGTATCATTGGTATGCTCAATCAATGTAAGACTTCACCTAGCTGTATGCTTAATATGATGATTTCAATTTCCCTATTGTGAACTTTCTATTTCTGTATAACAATATTCCTACATCCCTAACCTATGATATTTACATGTCACAGTTGATTCAATATTCAAAGGCATGTTCCAATTATCACAATATTTTTCGTTTTGTTCAAACCTCTTCAACGGACGGAAAAACTCGTAACACAGGGTTCCAAAAGATGCAGATTGATGAAATTTATGGGGAAGGTTTATGGTCAACATAGTGATCCAATCGAGAAATATTTTATCTCTTTTGTTGTTGTGGAGCTGATAAGTTTTCTTGTTGGTTTCGTGGTTGCATACATCCCTCTCGTTTGAGAAGGTGACATTACTTACTTGAATTGACATAGGTTTACATGACGGGAGTCGTCGATGAAGCACAAGACATTTACTCTTCCGTAACACTTGGTCTCAATCTTCTTTTACTTTTCCATCAGTCTCGTTGTAATTTGTTTTCATATTCTGTCTAAGTTTCCTGGAATTTTAAAACATTCACAGAAATGGGAGAACTGAAAATAGTTTTCCTTTTCTCATAATAATACGGTAAAATATTATATATGACCATTGGTGTTGACTTTTTGCAGTAGAAAACTCTTTATCTGCACGTTCCGCAATTTGATGTCATCGCATTTACGGCACATCTGCTAAGTCAAATACACCAACCGATCAATACACTCTGAACTGTTGACAACATTTACTATAAACTATTCTGTGCATTATTGTTTGCTGGGATAAGATGATTTGAAAAAAAATTCTTTCGTTAACATGATCTGTGTAAACCGATATTTTACACCTGTAGTTTTATCCTTAAGCTTTTTAAAAATTTTATTTACAAATATCAAAAAATCAATCTTAATGATTTAGTAATGAATGAAAAATCTATTGAATATTTGAAGAAATTTTAATAGAACTGGTATTTGTTTCTGATCCATGACTTTATGTACTAGCATGTTAGTGGCCGAATATCGACAGGAGAGCCCAAGTAACGTAGCAAGTCAAGCAGCCTCGTTATCGTCCACTCAAAATGTATATTAAGAAGAATCAGTTATTGGTTGGCGTATCTAATAGTTCAGTCACGTATGTGTGGGGGAGGAGTGGAGTCTCGTGATTTACAATTATCATTACGTCATATTGGTTGGGAAATCATGTTCTTTGTCCTTTAATCGTGTTTATATAAGAGCAATAAGTGACTTTACTTTAAACATTGTTAGCGTTCATATATTTTGTTAAATTAGCATCAGAAACGTTTGTAAACATAAATAAAAAAATGTATATAAAAAAGAAAAAGAAACTTGTTTTCTCCTTTTAAAACAAGAACATTACAAAACGACATTGTTATTATTGAATATGAAAAAAAGAAAACATTAGCAAGCTTTACTACCTATTGATTCGATATGGAATAAAACGCTTGATTGGTCAATTGAATGCGATAGTAAAACTATATCCCTCCGTCCACGAATTGATCGTGCGTGTACCTCGCCAAAATGAAAATTGTAAATTACGTCTGAACCCCAAGAAGACACGTCCTAAAATTTACTTCGAGAAGAGGAAGATGAATCACGTTATTTATTCGGCGTTTGAATGCTACTCGCACCAAGAATCCTGAGCATGGGAATAGATCTCAGAAGTTATCAACAAACATGTCTATATATGAACGTACTATTTGTGAAAGGAATTGATCATCGCAGATTTTTGGTCGATTATCGATTCTTATTAGATTGATGATTCTTCGTTTTAATTCTTTCATTCGACACGTTAATTTACGTGAAATCAGTTTTATTCCTGTTAAATCATCGAGTACAATAACTTCATTTCACATCTTTACATTAGGAAGAAAAGGACATTGCGTTACTGAGAAGGTCAAGTGTCCTGGTACGTTCTGTCAGCACGTCAGCTACAGATGTGACATTCGATGCCAGAGACAGGAAACAGAAAACAACAACTGTGGTAGGTGTGAGAGATGATTATTTCACTGTGATGAAAACATAAATCATACTTTAAAATATTTCGATTTATTTCAATTTCATTAACATGAAAATAATCAGACATCCAAAAATAGACAAACATGACGTCATGTGTACATTATCAGTTGCCTTTTCACTAAATACGGTAATTGACGCATAGTATTGCTGATGAAGACGTACTGCTTACTATGTTCAATATCAAACTTTTGATATTAAGTATATGTCTGTAGTGTAAAGGGTTGATACTTTGTTGTATATTTCAAACAGATCATCGGTATCGTCGTCGATTATTGATTTTGTATGCAAGTACATTAAATCGTCCTGGTTTCAGGACTATACAATTGTGCAGGAACATATCACTGCCCTAACGGACACACCATTCCTCTACAAGAAGTATGTGACAATAAAAGCCAGTGTCTAGATTCCGATGACGAGTCTGCATGTGTCCATCCGTGCCAACCAATTTGTATGTGTATCGGTCTCACAGTCAAATTCAGCGACCCTTTCTTGGCGACTGCACGCTTCCCTTCCAATACCACGTGGAACAATTTACTGTCTCCGGGATTACAACAACTATCGAAGATTAGTTATTTAGTCATTGAAGATAAATACAATGTGTACAAAACATTCAGCAAAGGTTTACAGAGCCTCAGGTCATTAGATCTATCTAATAACAGCATTGTGTTACTTCCTAAAGGCGTTTTCGGCGAAATGTCAAGTATTGTACATCTAGATTTATCATATAATAAGATAAATCAGTTGTCAATAGATACATTTCATGGTCTCACTGATCTTGTGTATTTGGACTTATCTAACAATCAAATATCAGTTCTACCGGTCTCTGTGTTTAGCGGTCTCCCTAATCTTATACTTTTGGACTTATCTAGCAACCATATATCAGTTCTACCGGACTCTGTCTTTAGCGGTCTCCCTAATCTTATAAGTTTGAACTTACCTAACAATCAAATATCAGTTCTACCAGACTCTGTGTTTAGCGGGCTCGCTAATCTTATACGTTTGGACTTATCTAACAATCAGATATCAGCTCTACCAGACTCTGTGTTTAGCGGTCCCCCTATTCTTATACATTTGGACTTATCTAACAATCAAATATCTGTTCTACCTATGTTACCTGCTTCTTTTAAATGGCTTGATATATCATACAATAATTTCGCATCTTTGCCTGCGGGTACATTCACTAATTCTAGTAATTTATCTGCTTTGAATATCATTGGTAACAAACTCGAAGTTAAGCAACACATGTTTGAAGGTTTAGAAAATCTGACTTTTTTGCTGACAGACACTCCTTTTATGTGTTGTGTTAAACCTAAGTCGGTTACAGATGATAAATGTGTAAACAATTGGATTAGATTTGAAAATTGCATGTTGGAAAAATCAGCCTGCAAATCAGGAGATGTGATATCCTCGTGTAAAAATTTGATAGGTTCAGATTTACTTAGATTTTTTCTCTGGATTATTGGCTTTTGCTCTTTAATTGGGAATTTTACTGTCATGTTTTACCGACTTCTTATCGATAGAGATAATATTACAACAAGTTATTCGATTTTTGTTTTGAATTTGAGTATGTCTGATTTACTCATGAGTATCTATCTCATGATTATAGGCTCATTTGATATACATTATCGAGATGTATATGCGTGGAATGATCAGGATTGGAGAAGCAGTATTGTATGTACAATAGCTGGAATTCTGTCGAATATATCTAGTGAAATGTCTACGTTTCTGATTCTTATGGTGACAATAGACAGAGTAATTGTCATAGTATTTCCCATGTCTCGTCTTTCTCGGCGAAATATATCCGGAAATCAAGCATGCCTCATCTCATTGTTCCTGTGGTTGGTTGCTATCACAGTTGCTGTCATCCCTGTCGTTACTATGCAATTCTACTTCAAGGGGAAATATTATTCTCAATCAGGAGTGTGTCTTGCCTTACCACTGACACATGACGAACAACCTGGTTCGGGTTATTCTTTTGCAGTGTTTGTTTGCCTGAACAGTTTCATTTTCGTTATCATCGCCATAGGCCAACTCCGCATGTTTAAAAGCCTTGTAACAAGTGGTGGGGGTCGGGTAGCTTCATCACAGACTCGACAACGAGACCTGACGGTAGCTAGAACCCTCTTCCTGGTGGTGGCGACAGACTTTTGTTGCTGGTTTCCTATTGGTGTCATGGGTAAATAACTTATCCTATCGCATTACGAAATGTAGAACAAAGCTTTGAATTATAACGTTCTCAAATGAGTGCCTTTCCAGCAATAAACGAAGTATCCTTGACGACGACCATAAGGTCACTTTCAAAACAATTTAGATATATTAATAAATACACACATTCCCACAAAAATTCATCTGTATAAGTAACCACACATAAACATATGATCATACAAGAGTTTGAGTGACCTCGCGAAAGTTGTGAAAGACGATGGTTCCGCAAGTACGAAAACAAAAGATTTAATGCTTAGATAAGGAATTACCACATATAATTAGTATCATAAATGATAATAAACTTTTATTCGATGTATACTATCGGTTGTCCTAATGGATGATGAATTTCTTATCTCTACTCAGAACAAGTGTCAAACAATACTATTTTTTCAGGTGTGATGTCGAAGAGTGGATACGAGATTCCGAATGATGTCTATGCCTGGGTAATGGTATTTGTGCTGCCAGTCAATGCCGCCATCAACCCGTTCTTGTACACGGTATCAGCAATTTGGAGGAAGCGTCAAAGTGTACGTTGATTACTACGCGAGTGTGTGGTAGCCGTGAAGACTTGTGTTTGTACCCAAGTCTGCAAAACAGACTATTGATAACAAAATAGGTCCAGACAACTGATAAACGAACTATAATATTCGATAATACGATGTGATGATTTCATAATGTTATATATTATCAGTATTGTTAATTTTCGTGATCGTTTATTCTGAATTGTTGTCTCGCCTGATTTGTTAGTTTTCAAATTTATAAAACAAGATCAAAGGGTTATTTTTGTTTGCCAAACAAGATTTTCGCAGTTGCGTTCATCTGTTTTAACCAGATAATGATTCGCTTTCCTAGACAGGAATTTTATACAATTAAAACCTATCTAAAGGACCGAATTGTTGTCATGTTTTCCTTAAAACATTTGGGGGGAAAAACTTTATTTTCTTCACTTTTGGAAGTAGTTCAAGAGGCTAAACATTAATGAACACGTTTTTATGACGTCAAAATTGTCTATAGTTTAGACGTTAATGCAAAACAAGTCAAACTTTCATTCAATGATGTTCTACTGATTCTTAGAAAAACTGTGTTGTTGTGTAATAATACATTCAACAGCATACATATGCTATTTTAATTGTCAAGATGAATTTCCTTCATTATGGCAATTCCACTAGTTTTAAAGTCTAAACGTAAAACCGTGACACAAATCAACATTGAATTAGAGTGTCTTTGATCAACATTTCTGCAAGAATCATTCCCTCGTTCTATGCTAAATACTTTCTACAAAACTTCAATTTTCCCACCGTTGTCACTAGTGTAGTTATCAATGGCATTATCATTCCAAGTTAAGCCGAACCACGTATTTATAAATAACAGTATATTGGGACACGGTGATGCACGATACAGTAATTGGGGGTATTAATTAGAACAGCAAATGAATGAATGATGTATTCAACAGTTTCCTATAAAAGTAAGAAAGCGGATTAAAAAACAAAACAAATGCACTTGATATATTCTTAACAAAAAGAAAGTGCCAACATCATCATAATTCAATGTCAACTAGAAATCATCAGCCAACAATTTGAACTATTCTTAACGTGACCCTTTCCGAAAAGCAGAAGTTGACTTTTGACATTTCTTCCTAACCTTCATTAGTGTTTGATTGCAATTTACAACTGACAAAATACCATTATCTTGTATCTCTTTTCTTATTGAAAATAAATGATTGAAATTTCACAAAATTGATCCGCGTGACCTTGAAAGTAGAGCAAAGTCATTCATATTAGCCAACCTGATAGCTAATGACCTGGAAATCTTACATGTAAAATATCAACATTTTAAACAATGTGGATCTTGAGAAGTTCTTCAAGAATTTACATCCTAAACAAACACCTTTGAATATTGACCCAAATAGAAGACTGGAAGTTGACCAAGCACAAGGTTTTTCTTACTATTGTTGATAACAATTGGTCGCAGTATGCAACTGAACAAATACCGTCACATTGTGTCTCTTTGTTATAGATGAGAATCCATTTCATAATTTTGACATTCATGTTATCAAATTTCATACACAAATACATGGGCGTTTTACCTGTAGGTCGTTAGAAGTTTTGTTTTATCCAAAATTGCATTTCTGAATGTTAACCAAAGTTGATATAGTACTATTATTTTCCTTATTATTATCGATGTCCATTGATCTCAATATGCATCGGATTAAATATCACATTTATTTTGATAAACTTGATAGCCAATAACTGAGCTTCTTCTATATCAAATATGAAGACTCTAGACCATGTAGATTATTATCCAATCAAGCATTTTTCAACTACGGCTATGCCATGTATCGGAAGTTCTAGTTGAATAATAAATATGTTTTTCTGTTCTTAATTATTTAACAAAACATTTTTACAGCTGAATTCAACATGACGTGTCGATATGAAGTTTAAAGCAATTCAAAAAAAAAAAAAAACGGATATGATTTCATGGTGGCCATTTTGTTTGATTTTTTAATGAAAATGTACTTAGAAATGAATATACATACAGTTGTGGTGACGCACAACGCACCAAAAACGTCCTACGCACATAGTCCGCAGATCATGGGCGCACACACACGATACAATCAATCAGGTTTTTAATTCGACGTTCTTTAAAAATAACACTTGACCTGCATTAATTAGTCTGATCGTATATAGTTTCACACCTCAGACTGTGGTGAGTAGTGGTGCCTCGGGTAGCAAACGTTTACCTGTATACGGGTACGTACGTGACAGGTCCTGATCTGTACTAACTTGGTCGCATGGCTAGCAAGATACAACACTGAACATTTCCTTGAGCAGATAGTTTTTGTTTACAATATGAACGAAAAAAAAAATTATATAGAAGAAATGAAAATAAAGTTTCCTTACTGACGGTAAAAGATTTCAGATGATTTATTGCTGTGACGTAAAGGGACGTCCATTTAATTTGTATATGTATAATGTAAATATTAATGTGTGTCCGTAAACGAAACACTTCGATGTGCGATCCAACAACTGTAATATGATATGATGCGAAGTCATAAGGATATATAACTGCATAAAAATCGACCAGCACAATACTAATATATTGAATTTGATATTAATAAGTATAATCGTGACTCCCGCTCCATGTGACGTTTTCGACTTTTACGTCACAAGATTTACAACTGTAGCAGTCATCAAAGAAGGAATAAGAGAGATCAAGAACAGTCATGGTCTGCAACGTCAGTTTGCAAGTGATTATTTTCAGTTTTGAGGAATCAGAAATGCTTCGAATCAATGTCGAGGGAAAATAAACAGAATACGCCTTAATGGTGATGATTTATTTCTTTATGTGAAAAGTCAGTTTGTAATCATTTTATTTACTACACTATTCGAGCCGTCATTGCAGAGTTACTTCGGACCACTATTTTTATATTCCTACGACATGGACGATATTTCAAAGGGTCTTCAGTAATAACAAATAGTTTTCACAAATATATCTAATATTTCTTTTCCGAGTGCGCAGCACCAGTGAAAGATACAGGAAACATTAGACTTACAATAAGATATTGCATTTATTACATTTTCTCTCGATTTCAATTATATATTCCATACTGTAACGAAATATATCAAATTTAACCCCTTAGACAGAACATTTTTACAGCTGAATTCAATATGACGTGTCGTTATGAAGTTTATAGCAATTTAGACAAAAAACGGATATGACTTCATGGTGGCCATTTTGTTTGTTTGTTTTTTTTTTAAATTAAAATGTACTTAGAAATGAATATACATACAGTTGTGGTAACGCACAACGCATCAAAACATCCTACGCACATAGTCCGGAGATCATCCGCGCACACGCACACTATACAATCAATCAGGTTTTTTAATTCGACATTTTTCTAAATAACACTTGACCTGCATTTATTAGTTTGATCGTATATAGTTTCACACCTCAGACTGTGGTGAGTAGTGTTGCCTCGGTTAACAAACGTTTACCTGTATACGGGTACATACGTGACAGGTCCGGATCTTTACAAGCTGGGTCGCCTGGCTAACAGACACAACACTTAACATTTCCTTGACCAGATATTTTTTGTTTACAATATGAATGAATAATGTGAGTTATATAGAAGAAATGAAAATAAAGTTTCCTTGCTGACGGTAAAAGATTTCAGATGATTTATTGCTATGACATAAAGAGACGTCCATGTAATGTTTACATGTATAATGTATATATAATGTGTGTCCTTAAACGAAACACATTTGTGCAATAGATGTGTGATGGCTTATTTCGTCCAATTTTCCTATCGTAGATCTTGGCAGACATCTTACGAACATCGCACATCGTGCAGACATCGTGCAAACACAAAACAATTATAATTTAAATTCATTTTTATGTTCACATTGAAAATGACACTTATTCATATCAAATATGGCCACCATCTACAGCTGTTGATGACAAGATTCTTCTTGAAATGACTAACCTATCAGCTCCACACTCAAGACATTCGGGTTGGAAATTTGGTTCAATCTCTGATAAGGTCATTTGTGTTGCATTGTTTGTTGATTTTCAGAATTAACAATGATTTGAAGGTCGTGTTACAAACAACCCTTTCAGGCTTCTGAATTTGTGTTTATTGATGAACTGGCTTCATGATTTGTCATTTTCATTTTTCATTTTTTCAAAATATATCCGACGTTGATTGTTACTGTTGTTGATTAATGATAAGTTGGGTTAGATGAAGTATCTACATAATTTAAGCTACACGAATATGAAAAATAGCCTTTTTTCTCCGTACACATGTAATATACGCATTTGATTTATTACCTTCGTTAAGTAATCAAATAATCTCAATCTACTATCTTAGTCTACATAGATGTTAAATTGTGTACCTGTACAAACACTAAACATAACTGTGCCACGTGCTGTCACAACAATAAGGCTTTATACCAGTGTCAACGTATGGCATTAAAAGGGTGTCAGTAGGTCAGTAAGGGGTAACAAGAACTTGCAGATTGGTGTATGTTATGTTCCTTTAGATTTTCCACGTTACAAGAATGTCATCAGGAAGTATGATAAGGAAATGTATATGGACCAAATTTAAGAAAAAATATCACCGAATTAATTGCCTTACTTATGCGGGAATTGAACAGACTATACTCCTTCCGTAATATGCTGAAGTTATATGCATAACGTAATATCTTTAGATTGCATAAAGCATGAACATAACAAAATTACCTCTTCCTCATACCGTTAATTAATGCTACTATACGAGACAGCTGATGTGACAAATACTACATACAATGTACTTAATTTTCATGTTATTTTTTAAATACACTTATGTCGTTTCTCGGTACAAGTCGATTTCAATCGTATATTCAATACTGTAACGAAAGTGATGAGAAGAAAAAATATACTATTTATAGTCACTAGATTAACGGCTTTATTGAGATACATGTAACATCCGGATGCGTGTTTGGATACCTCCATACAGGTTAAACATCTGCCTTCACAGATGTGGGATCGCCGCTGAGCT